AAATCTATTTTGTTTACAACAGTAATTGATTGTTCTATAAAACGTTGATATGATGCTAAAAGCATATATAAGAGACTCTTTAAATATTAGAAAGTCAATTCTTAAAACTAAGTTCATACTCTTTATCTTCCCCTCGTTTGAGCACCATTTTTGGGGAAAAATATTTTTAAAAATAATGATTTTTTTAGAGAATGTGTGGTTAAAAAATAAAAAAAAAATTTTGATTTATGTATAAAATTGTTTTATTGGAGAATGTTTGGATAAAAATGTGTTTTGAAAAAAATAATTTTTTTGGAGAATGTGGTTTAAAAATAAGGAAAATTTTTCGATTTACGTGTAAAATTGTTTTATTGGAGAATGTATAATTGAAAATGATTTTTGAAAAAATAAGGGCAAATTCTCTTTGCCATTTTGAAATCGTGTTCTGTTTTCGATTTTTTAAAACAGTGAAAACGTGTTTTCTTTTCTATTTTCGAAAACGCGTTTTTCAAAATAAGTTTAAAATTTACAAAGAAAACTCAAAACGACAAATTTGGTGTTTTCAGTTATAATTTGACCAAAATTTTCAAAACGCGTTTTCGTTGTTTTCAACTACCGCAAACCATCACCGCACCCAACCACAACTGCACCATCGAAACCAACCAACGCACCACCACCACCACCAAAATCGCCACTAAAAAGGCCCCCACCACCACAGCCAAAATCGCAACCCAACCACCTAAAAATCACCACCAAAAATACCCCCACCACCATAGCCAAAATCACCACCAAAAGACCCCCACCGTCACAGCTAAAATCATGACCTAACCACCGCAAAATCGCCACAAGAATCGCGACCCAACCACAGCCAGAATCGCTACCCAACCACAGTTAAAATCGCCACAGCCAAGACCCCCACCGCCACAGCAAAAAATCGCGACCCAACCACCGCCACAGCCACCATCGCATCCAACCACAACACCCAAACCAACCACCGTCGGTGAAGAAGAGAGAGAGAGGCCATGAAGTGTGGAGGGGAAGAGAACACGTTTTGCATTTTCTAAATAAATTTGAACTCCTAAACTCTAGTATTTACATCACAAAGATCGTTTTCCTTCTCTGTTCCCAAAAACTATAGTTTCCTGGGATCATGAAGAATAAAAAAACAAATATTACGAAGCCACCTACTGATGAAGATTACACGACGCACATAATACAACACCATACCTTAGCAGACTTTGCTACATATACATAGATTTACATAATAACACTCTATCATTTGTCAGTTAAAATACAGTTAGCTTTTTCGTCCAATTATTTCCTTCTAAATCATCTTCTGACACTACTTCTGGACGTTGGCTTCCATACAACCAACATAATTCTACCTTAACAGTACTACCATGAACTGTATCCTTGACACTATCTAATTCACTACCAGAAGAATTTCCAAAATCGAAATCTGAGGGGCTGTTTGATAGATATTATTGAGGAAATAATGTATTCTAAATAATGATATGATAAGAAATATGTGGTTAAAAAGTAAAAAAAAAAGTTATTAATACAATGAAAAATATTATTTTATTGAAAAACGTGTGGTTGAAAATGAATTTTGAAAGAATATATTTTAAAAGAATGTGTATCAAACAAGAGATGGGTGAACAATATCAAACAATAACTCTTAGTCCTGGTAACTCTTTTTCTTTTCGGTAAAATGCATTCAATGGATCGAAAGGAGTGGCATGGAAGGGTTTACACAATTATTAAAAACCATGAATTGATTAAAATAAAAAGTCCAAATCAACATAGATATACCCAAACTTAGAGCATCGCATCAATTAGAGCAACAATATCCAATGAATACTATAGAAAAAAGTATGCACGAAAGTTTCAACGTAACAAGAACAAGTAGAAGAAGAGCCTGGCCTCACTATTGGAGCTACTTGAATTTCTGCATTCACTATCCCTTCGGGTAATATCCTTATCAACCTTTACACAAGGAAAGCTTGAGATATGTGTGTCAGTTGTGGCAATATTCATGTCAATCTCAGTTTTTTTCTTTGATGAAGAATTCAGGAGCAAGGGTGGGAGAGAAAATATTTCAATTATCGAACCAAACACCTAATAATTATTAAGATTTGGGATTCCATCTTAAAATGTCAACCTTATTAAGAGGAATAGTTCAAACTCTTATATGTTGATCTACATTTTTATTTTTATTCTATGTGAGATTTATTCCTTAACATGCCTCCACAAGATGGGTGGCAAACCAATCTTGAAATTTGCGTGCTTATTTTTTTGAGTTTGGATTGAATTGTTCGTTGAAATTTAATGATCTTTGATACCATACAAGACAATAGAGAGGGAAGAATTTTTTGCTACAAAATTCTCATTCTGTAATGGAATATTTATACAATAGTTTACAAGATGAGGTAGAAATCAAAGAATCTCAAATGGCATACAAATCTGGTACAAGATGAAATCAAGTGTCCAAGTATAATAGAAGATTATCTCTAGAGATAATAAAGAATTTTCACCAAGTATAACAGAATATTATCTCTAGATTAAAAGAAGTAGCCAAAACTCTTATATGTTGATCTATGTTTTCATCTTTATTCGATGTGAGATTTATCTCTTAATAATAACAACTGAAATCCTCATTTTTAATGCAAGTTAATCTACAGAACAGAAAATTACCTTTGCTAGGTTGCAAATGTTGATTGCTGTACCATGATTCATTGCACATCAGCAGAAGATACAAAAACCAGTATTTAGGCTCACATGTGCCTCTCATGCAGACAAAGTTATAGACATCAAATAAAACTCGTTAATCCACAAGAAAGTGTGTGCACAGGTTTACCTCAAATTCACACGGCCATATTTTTGCTTGAATTTTCTGCTGCTTTGCTACATAGTCATCCTAAAGTTTCCATAACTTGAACGGTGTATCATCATTGAGAGTATTAATATCAATGGTAATCTCATCCTCATTCACTTGGCTTCCATTGATCAAAGTGATCTCTTTTCAAGAAATTAATAATATCTTCAGGCAATTCTTCCATCAACACCTCCAACTCTGCTTCCAATTTTCGTATCTCAACATTACTTTTTACAGGCTTAACTGGTTCTTTCTTGACCTTGTTAGAAGTGATTTTCTGCTTCTTAGCAGGAGGCATGAAAGGAGTTTTAGCTTCATTTTACAGCACTTGATTTTGAAGGAATGGATTCATCCATTCTTACAAGCATCTTCTTCTCAATTTGCTTCCATCTCGTTTCAAAAAATATATTCTTCTCAGCCATAAGATGGACATGATATGTGGCAGGTTGTATGTCATTGCATATTTTAAAGTTAGCCTCATATTTGCAGCAAACCCCTCTGGACTGGAATACCACCCTGACAATAACTTGGTCTTTATCGTCCTAAATCCATTGGATGCTTAATAACATTGAAATAATCGGGAATATTAAATGCTAAAATATTGATCAGAACCGATGTAAATGAGTATAACATTGTTTCAACGACGTAACATAATTGGTATTATGTGGTAAGCAAAACTGGCCCTCATATTTTGGGGGCCTTATGCAAACTTTAAATATGGGACCCTATGAATATTAAGGCCCCATTTGATAGAGATTAAAATTAGATTTCTAATAGATTTTAATAAAAGTTGAAGGAATGTGTGGTTGAAAAATTGTGAATCCTATGAAATGTGTGATTAAAATTAATTTTTTTGACTTAGAAAACAAGTCTAAACAATTAGACATAATCATGAAAATTGGAAGATACAATACATTCCAATACAAACATAAAAAAGAATAAGTGGATCGGAAAAATTCCAAACTAGATTACATAACACATAGAGAAGCATTAGTTTAATTAAACCCATTAATCAATACAGTGACACTAAAAAACTGGAAAAAAAAAGACAAATAAAACAAAATGCAAGAACCTAAAAGAGAAATAAGTACCAGCGCCTTTAGCAATAGCTTCTTGAATAAGTGTAAGACCAACTATGAGAGTATTAGAAAAAGTAATGACAGTAAATTTTATAGAGAGCAAAGTGACTTTTTATTTTTTGTCAAGAAAAAGAAAATAATGGTTGGAAAGATAAATGGTCAAAGTAATTATATATAAAGAAAGTAATGACTGTGATATATTTATGTGATACATAAATGTATGTGATAAGTTTTATGCTATTTATATTATTCTTTTAGAGATGTTTTGATTTTCAAATTTTATTAGTTTATTGTATTTGCATATGATAATTCTAATTAATTTAAAGAATTTCGTAATTATAATTTTCATTTTCTTTCAACCAACCAATTAACCTTACATAATTTGGGATCCTCGTCAAAAGGAGGCCTTAGATGATCGCCTACGCCGCCTATAGTCAGGGTCATCCCTGGTGGTAAGCTATGCTTCTTCACCAACTCAGTCTGCCTAACTGCCATGGCTCCACCCTTCATGCGGGGAGCATTTCTACCCTCAGGAATTTTTTTCTCCCCGAGCACTATAATCACTTTATTCACAGAAATCATACAAGTTTCCTCCTTGGCTGGTCTCTTTGAGCCATCACCATAACTATTCATATCAATAGTGTCATTTGAGCTCAACAAAGCTATCTTCTTCTAAAGCGTCCTAACTTGTTCAAGTAACTAAGTTCATTTTTCAACTTTATCTCCAAATCCCTTCTTTACAAATGTGACATCGTAGACAACGAAAAGACCTATATGGGCACAATAGACCTATAAAAACCATCCACATTCAAGCCTATCGATTTCACTTTAGGCGCATATGAATCCTTTGAAGAAGTTCACAGGGTATCGATCGAATTTGACCCCACACAACCCCGGATGAGCAACCTTTAGAGTTTAGAAAGTTCCCATGTTTTTCCCATGAAAAAAAACCCGATCCACTTTTTTTATCACTTTTTTTATTCCTTCTACCCAATGAACTCTATAGAAATAGTCTAAGAAACACATGTTTGGATGTGTAATTCAAAGGGAATATTACCTAGAAACCTACATTTAAAAACTAATTTTCATAAATAAGGGAGTTTGTTTTAAAATTCATATAAAAGGTGGTAATTAGATATTATTACTTGCAATAATAAAATTTAATTAAACTTAATCTATGTAATCACCCCCACCATCCCCACCAACCCCGATTAACCCCAAACCCGGATCTTTCTTCCTTCTCTATATATCTCTCTCTATCACCCACTCTAACAACCCACTTATCTAGGACTGGGCTTAAAAATCGCAGCCCCAAAAACCAACCCAAAACGGGTCGAGTTGAGTCGGTTTAGGGTTAAATCCGGGTCTAGACGGGTCGGGTCGGAGAAAATAAATTCAAAATAATTGTGAGTTGGTGCCACCTATTTGAGCTCCTAATCACCTCAGTATCCTCTGGGATCACCCCCAACAATGGCAATCCCAACATTTCTTGAGCATCTAAAATCGACATCATATCCTCCCCTTTTATCATATATGTTCTCATGAGGTTTACAATCATCTTAATATTCCTAATCCCATCACATTCCACTATCAAGTGCTCTAAGAAAAAAGATAATACGCTATCTACTATCAAGTACCGTCTTGTTCCAGTGACTGCGTGTAATTAAAGAAGATGAAGGAAGGTCTTCACTCATGGAGTTCTTGCTCCGACTTTCCCTCTATTCCCTCCCCCACCACTCTCGGAACCCACACCCATAAACTCATAGTTTCCACAATTACTGCAACTATTGAATCAGTCAATGAAAGCTCCCTCACAGCTAAAGAGAGAAGGTATATGAGAAACGAGAGGAGAGAGAGTAAACCCGCTTACAACTGGAGAGAAGAGGTGGAAGAAAGGCTTATCAAGAAGCCCAAAAAGCGTTACACTTCTTGAACTGAAGAACTCAATCTTGATAACCTCGCTTTACTCGACCGTTAATGGTGGGTTTTAGAGTTTACAGAGTGTCGAACTTGGCAATGGAGATAATTCTACTTTCTTACTGGACCCTACTCGACCCGATTCAATTCGAGTTGGGTCGGTTTGTGAAAGAGTCCAAAATCGGGTATATCGGGTCGGGTCGATTTTGGGCCAAACTCGACCCATCCGACCCATTGCCCACCCTTACACCCATCCCTCACTCTCTGTACCATATCTCCGACGGAGCATAACCGCTGTAGAAAATAGCTGCAAGCATATCTTTCAAACCCTAAAATTCTCACCCTCATTCTCTCCATCTTCTATTTCTTTACACACCTAGCCACCCACAATCTCCAGCATCATCGATCATGACAAAGCTTCTCTTCGCGTCGACGACACCGCTGTTGCTGCTGCAAGCAATGACAGCATTACTCGCAATATCACTGTTTAGTAATAGGGATGTGGAGCCTTTTGACAACAGTACATGGCCAATGTAATGGACAATGTCAAATATTGGATGAATCGAACAATATAGTTTAGTTTTAGTACAAGATCTAGTTCCATTTTCTTTATTCTTCCTCTTTCGGATCAACGGTTTGTACATTCTGCAAACAATTTCACCGGGAACACCTTTTTGTGAATTCAATCAAATCTCGTTTCTTAATCTATTTGTGCATTCTTATTTTGTCTTTTTTTTTTTTTTACAGTAATACCAACGTTGTCTGTTGATTGCATGCATGTAGTTTGTGGTTTGTCTGTATTTTAGGGTTTTTGTTGGTGATTGTTGGTTGTTGTTGCTAGTGGTGGTGGTGGTTGTTGTTGTGATTAGGTGGTGGTAGTGGTGATGTTGGTAGTAGTGGTTATGTTGGTGATAATGGGGTGAGGTAGTAGTGGTGGCGCATTAGAGGTGGTAGTGGTGGCGCATTAGAGGTGATAGTGGTGGTGATCGGTGGTAGATTGTGGTGTTGGTCTATGGTATGTGCATGTTTGTTTATGATGACCTTCTGTGACCAAATATGTATTTATTATGATTGGTTGTGACCAATTATGTGTTGATTATGAACGATTGTAACTTAATCACATACCATTATAATTAAGATTGAACTAGTGGCAAACAGACGCACTGGAGATAAAATTGGTCGCATTTAATCACATTGAAGATAACATTGGTCACAGCTAGTCGTGGATAATACAAGATAGTGACTTAGTTACACA